TTATATTTAAATAAATAATTTATTGAGAATTTCATGCATGCATATAAGGTGTTTTGAGCAAATCCATGCCCACTCCCTCCCTCCAACTCCTCCCATATTTCCCATCACTTTTTTCTGAGAACTTCATGTACTCCTTCTTTGATTGATATATTTATTTTTATGGGGCTTTTGGCTACTCTAACATTCCCCCCACCTCTGAAGAGGTATCCCTAAAATCTTTTAAGGATTAGATACAAGCTCCCAAATACTTTAGACATTTTTGGTCTTTGGAACAGAGTATGTTGCTAACAAGCTGAAGGACATTTTGTCTTTCAGCCAAGAAACTGGCTACTTTTCTTTGGGGTCTTTTTACCTTAACTGTCTAGCCAATTCCTACCTCCTATTCTTATCACACCATCCTCTGAAGAGATTACCCAAATTGCCAATAGGGAAGCCAGACACACGCAGCTCTGGCTTCTTCCATGCTGAATAGGGACGCAGGGTGAGGCAATTGGAGCACCCCTTCAGTGGGTCTATCTCAAAGACTCCCAAATTGCATAACTCTTATCTTTAAGGGGAAAAGAAAGTCTTTGAATTGTGATGTGATGTGAAGGAAATGTGAAGAGATGTGAAGGATAAATAAAAGCAAGAGTAATTAGCATTGCAAGTTCTAGACAGGGAACTAGAAAAAGTCAGAACTGGGCAATTTTCAAATGTTCATATGAGAGTCCATTGGAATTTCTTGACAAGGGCTTCCGAGAGCGTTCCTCATTTGGGTTCTTCCTAATTTTTCTTTTGTCTTCCCAAGGAAGGACTCTAGAGTGATGGATGATGGACTCAGGATTTGCTTTCAGGTATTTTGATAGCTGTTGGAGTGGTTAGAATCCGTGTCAGATCCCCCTCAAAGGCTTCTAGAGAGGGGGAGAAAACAAATTTATCCATCATTTTAGAACAATAGCTTGTTGTTTCCCTTAGCCACAGGTGGGCATTATGGTATTGGAGACCAAGATTGGAAGTCTTACATCTGAATAGCACTTTCTGGTTAGGAACAAAATCATCAATGAGAAATAACTGTTTAAATAACTTTTTATATGAACTTAAGCTTTACTCTTTGGTTATACTTTCCTTTTGGGTGTTTATGACCATACAGTTGGCCCAAATAAATCAGTTTATTTTTACACTTAAGGTTATTTGAGGATCTGTTCCTCAGGAGTCAATGGGCTTGGGAGGAGCTCCTGGCTCCTTTCTTTTACCAGTTCCATCTATGTGAAGATAAGTCAAAGGTCCTGCTTGACCATGTCTGGATTCACTTGGAAGCATGAATGAGATGTTTCCTCTGAGTTGACCCTCCTCTTTGTAGACTGGACACTGGTTCAAGTCCATCTGGTGTGGTCTCCATGGCCTCCCTGAACAAGAGGACAGGTGACTCACCACAGTTACAGGACATTTTGAGAGATGTCCCATAGTCCCCTGGAATTTAGTTGACCTTGGACAGCAAGGGTCAAAAACTGTCCTTTAAGTCCCTCTGACCACATTAGTACAGGCCTCAAACTATGGCTGTTAAACATCCAATAAAGTTAGTTCTACCAGTCTGGTACTATTAATTACCATGAGCTGTGTAGATAAATCTTGGGTAAAAAACCAAATATTTTCAGATAAATCTTCACTAGATATATATTTTGTTCCTTAAACTAGTTGACTATACTATGGCCATAGAAAATTTAAGTTATTTTTGTCTCATCCTTTATATATCATAACAAACCTACACAGACCTTCATCACTTGCTTAGGCTTTCTCATTTTTTTCTATTTTGGAAAATATCTCCATTCCCATATCCTTTTAACACCTTTTACATTCCCATATTCTTTTCTTTCTTTTTTTCTTTTTTTAATAATTATCAGACACAATAGCATTAACAAATAAGTTTTCCATCTGTTATGACACTTCTTTTCCTGGGGATACTATACAATGCTTACTCCCTTTTAAGGTTCTAGTGTCAAGCCAATGTTTGATTAAAGTTTTCCTGGGGAACCAATGAATTTACTGAGCTTTCTTACTGAGATAACTGAGAGGCTGCTCAGGTGTATGTATGACCTGAGGGTATGTACACTGGAAAGCCTTTACCCAGCATGGGTCATGCTTTTTCCTCCTAGCCTTCCCCAGATTGTTTACTTTAGCCGTCCCCAAATCCAGTAGGCCATGTATGATTAGGGCCAAATTACATACAGTTGGCTGGGAAGAGTGGCTGGATAGTCCGATGATGGTCCAATGACCCTGTTTGGCCCTCCTTTAATGAATGAGCACAACTGTCAACAAGCCCAATTGTGACAATATTCAGCGATCAGGCTCAGCTCAAGTCATGATGATGGTAGTTATTTCATGCAGAAGGGACTGCTGTATCATCTTATTAAAAGGACCTGGAATTTAAAAGGATTTGGTGCTAAGATCCATATATGAGGGAGAACATAGGTCGTTTGTGTCTGTGTTACTTCACTTAGCATAACAGTTTCTAGATCCATCCATTTACCTGCAAATTTCATTATTTCCTCTTTCTTTACAGCTAAATAGAACTCCATTGTGTAAATATACCTTTTTGTTAACCATTCATCAGCTGAGGGACACTTGCTTTTCACAATAGCTGAGATGGAAGCGACCTAAGTGCTCTTCTTGAATACCTTAAATAGGTCACTCTATTATCTTGTACCATGAAACATCCCTGTTGAAAATGTAATGATTTAGTTTTCTGCCTGTTAACTTTTGGTCTATATACAGAAAGCCCTCAGTTTACTTTACTTGTTTTCTTTAGACAGGGTCTAACTCCATAGCCTAGGCTGTCCTGGACTCACTATGTGGCCCAGACTGACTCATAACAATCCTTCTACTTCAGCCTCCTAAATGCTAGGTTTATAAATGGGATTATAGGTGTGAGCCACCCCACCAGCTCTGTTTCTGTTTTGTTTTGAGATAAAATTCTAATTAAATACCTAGCTTTGGTTTTTTGTTTGTTTTTGTTTTACTTTAAAGTTCAGGGATTCATTAGAACACACCTTTTTTTTTTGTCTTTTTTTGAGACAGGGTCTCCCTGTAGCCCCAGCTAGCCTGGAACTCACTATGTAGACCAGGCTGTCCTTGAACTCACAGCCTGCCTCTGCCTCCTGAGTGCCAGGATCAAAGGAGTGTGCCACCACACCCGGCTACTCTTTTTTTTTTTTTTTTTTTTTTTTTGACAGTATCTCACTGTATAGACCAGGCTAGCCTCAAACACACAGATATTCCCCTGCCTCTCCCTCCAAGTGCTGGGACTAAAGACTAGTCAGGCTATGCCTGGCTGGAGCACAATTTCTTAAACTGTGGGTCACAAATTTGTGTTGTAAACAAATTTGGTAACACTAGGAGATTTTTGAATATGCACTGATCAAAAATTAATTTAAAATCAAACATAATGAAGCCAAGGTATTTCTGGCAGTGCTTGCCTGTGTCACATCACACTTTACCGCAGCCTTGGTTCTGTGGGTACAACATGTCCTTTGCTCCCTGCATGCCATCATGCCACAAACTGTCAATGAAAGCTGCCTGAAACACATCAGCTTAGATTTGAGACTACTGTATATTTTGAATTATTAACATGTTTCCTTTTTTGGTATGTGTGTGTGGTATGTGCATATGTTTATGTGTGAGTGAGAGTGAGCTTGCATATGTATCATGTAGGCAGGTATGAAGGCCAGAGTTTGATGCTAGATGTCATCTACAATTTCTATAATCATTTCTCCTTTTTTTTAAATTTCACTGAACTCATGGAGCTTACTCTTAAGATTGGATGGCCATCACGACCCTGTGCTGGAGTTTATAGACATGTATCACCAATCCTGGCTCCTATGTGAGTGCTGAGGTCCTGAGCTCAGATCTTCTTGCTTGCATGGCATGTACTGTACTCTCTAAGCCATCGCTCCCTCCCAGAACCGTAATATTTGTGCTACAACATACAAATTTCCTGCTCATATAGAAACAATGATTTAATTACAGAAAACAAAACTTTTAATATTTTTCTACCATCGTTCCTCAGTATACAAACATCAGATTAATATATATTTGGATTGGATTACGTTTGAATGTTTGATTTTATAAATTGCTATTTGAGCCAGTGTGATGATATACGCCTTTAATCACAGCACTCAGGAGGCAGATGCAAAGTGAGTCTCTATGAGATCAATGCCAGCCTGGTGTACATGGTGAGTTCCAGGCCAGTTGAAGCTACAGGGAGACGTGTCTCAAAACAACAGCATCAACAACATGCTGTTTGACTTGTCATTAAGAAAAGTCAATGAATTTTGGATTAGCATGAGGACAAAATTTCTAACAATTCTGAAAATGGCCCTGCATTAGTTGCTTTTCTCTTTCTGTGATAAAATACCCTGACAAAAAGTAGCTGATAGAAGAAAGGATTTATTTTGGCTTATGGTTCCAGAGGGACAGAGCCCATCATGGCAGGGAGAGTATGGCAATTCTGGGAAAGCATAGGGGCAGGAGCAGGAAGCTGGCTGATCACATTGCCATCCTCACACAGGAAGGGGGAGGGAGGGAGGGAGGAAGAGAGAGAGAGCAGGAAGTGGGATGACGCTATAAAACTTCAAACCCTGTGGGCATGGTGGTGCACACCTGTAGTCCCAGCACTTGGGAGGCAGAGGCAGGTGGATCCCTGTGAGTTCAAGGCCAGTCTGGGCTATATAGTGAGTTCCAGGACAGCTGGGGCTACAGGGAGACCCTGCTTCAAAAGGAAAACAAACAAACAAACAAAAACCCCAAAAACTTCAAACCCTGGGCTACCAACTGGGGATCAAGTGTTCAAATACACGAGTCTATGGCAAACATTTCTCATTCACAAAACCACACCACACTTCCTTCATTTTGTTCACATTTCTGCAAAGTGGCATTCTCAGCATTATAAAATCAAAGCATCAACTCAAAAAGTTGAGGATGTTCTACATCCTACAGTATCAAATATTTGTTAAGCTTTAATTTTTGCATGAAATGATGGTAGTCATTTTTGGGACTGACTTGAAATAAAGAGAATACTCTTTGCTGGTCACGGGGAAAATAATTAATTTTTGTGAAAATCAACAGCATATTCACCTTATTAGTATTTGGATTTGCTTTTGCCTTTAATAAGTGGTAAAACTATGTGTATATCAAAGAATTATTTAAAAATATAATTTCTTTGTGATTTATAATCAGTAAATGTTTTATTTGTATGCTTATTTTATATATCTATCTACCCAGAGTCATGTAAGTCTTTCTCAGGGGAAAAGGGATTGTGAGTGGAAAAAATTTAAGAAGCCTTGTGGTTAGAGTGTATTTGGCATTGGTGATTCTGAGTCAATATTTTTAAGTATAAAGTATGCCATGCTATGACTAAAGGTGTATACCACTATGGCCAATACTTACTAATTTTTAAAACAGAATCTCCCACTATGTAGCCCAGGCTGACTTTGAACTTACGGTGAGCCTCCTGCCTCAGTCTTCCAAGCACTAGGATTATAGGTAAATGCCACCACACCGAGCTTCAAATCTTTACTTTCAAAAGGTCTTTTTGAATTACAGCCTTTGCATTTGTCATGCTGTTCCTCTGGCTAGTTTTCTTTTTCACTTATTCCTATTTTGATATGTTGAATCTTATTTGCATGTCTTTAACATTTGTGTTTTTTCTTTCTTCTGTCTTGTTTTTCCTTTGTTTTGTTTTTGTCTTAATGAGACAGGATCTTGCTCTATGGTCCCATCTGGTCTTGCGTTCCTGGTCCTTTTGTCTCTGCCCTATGAGTGCTAGGATTTTATGTGTGTGCCATTATTCAACTCTTCCTTTTATATTTTAAGACTTTTCTTTGTTTAACCTTCTGTTTTTTAAAAATATTTTATTATTTTTATTTTTTATGTCTGTGGATATATTGGCTGCCTGTATGTAAGTGCACCCATGTCATGCAATGCCTGCAGAGGTCAGAACTGGGCATGGGATTCCCCTGAAACTGGAGTTGTTAGCTGCCATGTGGGGCTGGGAATCCAACCTCTGCAAGATCAGCCAGTGCTCTTAACCAATGAGTCAACTCTCCAGCCCACCTTCTGTTTTTTTTTTTTTTTTTTGGTGGGGGGAGGGACAGGGTTCAGGGTTTCCTTGCAGCCACAACTAGACTAGAACTTACTATGTAGACAAGACTGGCCTGGATCGCACAGAGATCTGCCTGCCTCTGCCCCCTGAGTGCTGGGATTAAAGGCATGTGCCTGGCTCCACCTTCTGTTTCTTGTAAGACAGTTTCTATAGGATTTATTCACTCTTATTTTCCTTCAGCTTACTTTCATTTCTGAAATAAATTTATTGATATTTTTTCTTGAGTTTTATCATCCGATTGTTCTTTTTCTAGCTCTGATTTATGCTGCTCTTTGAAATTTTATATCTTTAAAAGTATCTTTTAGCTTTTTTTGAAATAGTAGCTTATACTTTTTTCTTTTCTTTTTTTAAATTATTCCAAAGAGAGGCAATTTTTAATGCATTTTTCCTAAAATAACTCAAAGCAGGTTACATAAAAAAAATATATATACAATGAATTTTAAGGGGGGAAAATAGGAATAAGAACTCAAAGACCAAAGGATTTGCCAAATGTAGTCAACTTTGCTGGAATAATGAAGGTTTCCATTAGCTCTGTTCTTTTGTTTTTTCCTTTGGAAAATCCTAATGAATTTGTTGGGCTTGCTAACAGAGCATAGGGTGGGGGTTTATTTACAGAACAGTGCCCCCCCCCCATTTACTGCTGCACTAGAAAGTCCACATTCAAATACAGATCCTGTGACTACCTGACAGCCACACAAAATGGCAACAGAGGAGCCTCATGGCGGTCTAGGCATAATTATATATCCTTAGCCCCTCCCCCACATGCAACTAAGGTCAACTGATTGCGTGGGAGGGGTAACTGACTCTTCCCCTTGACTCCTTGATGAGTGTGGGAAGGAGGTGTGAGTCTAGCTTGCCTGCATAGTGGAGTTATCTCTTTTGGTGTTAGAGGCTCTGAAAAAAAAAATGTTTTCTTTACTATTCTGGGTTTATTTATTTTTATTTTTATTATTTATGTGTATGAATATATCACCTGCATGTATGGAAGTGCACCCCTGTCATGCAGTGCCTGCAGAGGTCAGAAGAAGGCCTTGGATCCCCTGGAACTGGAATGATGGCAGTTGTTAGCTGCCATGTGGGTGCACAGAATCTACCCAGGTCCTTTGCAAGAGCAGTCAGTGCTTAACCATTGAACCATCTCTCTAGCTCCTGACTATTCTGTTTTTAGAGTCACTGTATTCCTTGGTTCCAATCTCCTGATGCTATGACAGAATGCCTCATAAAGTTATTTATTATTAACTGTAGTATATGTAATTCGTGGTTCCAGAGAGGCCCTATTTGGAGAGCACCTACTTGTTCAACTATGCATGGCTGATGGAAGAGGAGAGATGGAACTCGGTTTGTTTGTTTGTTTTAAGATTTTACTTTTATTATTTAAAAAATATTTATATGTGTGTGTCTGTTTCCATTATCCTCTGGCCTAGTGAGTCAGCATTTCAAGTACTTTCAACATTAACAGGAGTTAACTGTAATTATGAAAGTGAGCAGTTTTGAAGGGTTGTCTGTGCTATTCCTATCTTGTTTGTGTAAAAGTTTAACACTTGGGGCTGGAGAGATGGCTTGGAGGTTAAGAGCCCTGGCTGCTCGTGTAGAAGACAAGGCTTTGATTCTTAGTACCTATATAGCAGTTAACAAATATCTGTAACTCCAGTTCTAGGGGATCTGATACCCTCTTCTGGCCTCCATGGCATTTCATGACAGGGGTGCACTTACATATATGCAGGCCAAAACACTCATGCACTTAAAATAAAAATAAAAATTTAAAAAGTGTAACACTTGAGAATGCTTGAAATTTTAGAATCCTGTTCCTGGGTCACAAATAAACACAAAAAAACAAATAACTTTAAAAGGTTTATACTGGCAGGTATGGTGCCCATGCCTAAAATTCTAGCTACCAGGGAAGCTAAAGCAGGAGCATCACGAGATTCAGGCTAGTCTGAACATCATGGGGAGACCCTGTCTCAAAATAGAGTAAAACAGAGCTGTACATATCAGTTCAGAGGTACAGCATTTGCCTAAAGTGAGTGAGACCCTGGGTTCAATTTTTCATATGGCTAAAAAAAGAAAAAGCACTGCGTATTGTTTTATAGATCCACTCTGTGGAGGAATTTGCACTTCAAGAGTGGCTACATTTCAATACACAAAAACTCAAAATTAAACATTAAAAAACCAAATAGACAAACAAAAAGAGTGGTTACCTTTCCTTACATATCAGCTCTATGATACAGTGGACTAATCCATGGGTGAAAACTGAGAAAGCCAATGATTTGAAGCTATTCAAATGAAGGAAGGAAGGAAGGAGGAAGGAGGAAGGAAGGAGGAAGGAAGGAAGGAAGGAGGAAGGAAGGAGGAAGGAAGGAAGGAAGGAAGGAGGGAGGAAGGAGGAAGGAACGAGGAAGGAATGAGGAAGGAAGGAAGAAGGAAGGAAAGAGGAAGGAAGGAAGGAAGGGAAGGAAGGAAGGAAGAAGGAAGGAAAGAGGAAGGAAGGAAGGAAGGAGGAAGGAAGGAAGGAGGAAGGAAGGAAGGAGGAAGGAGGGAGGGAGGGAGGGAGGAAGGAAGAGTGGCTACATTTTGCAGGATGGGGGTGGCAGTGGCAACACATGCCTAGTTCTCAGCATTTGGTAGACAGAGGCAGGAGAATCACTCTATGTTCAAGACCAGCCTGGGCTACATAGTGAGACCCTCTTTCTAAAGACCAAAAACCAACCAAAAAACCAAAATTCAAATCAAAAGAAGGAATATTGCCTTGCCCAGCCCCAGGGGGTTGGAAGTGTGCTGTGCCCCTGGTTCAGAACCCACATCCTGCTCTCCATTCTGCTTTCTCTGGATTTTGTCTCCTTTGGGTAGTCTCTTCCTACAGCCACAAAGGACAATAGTGTGTGCTCCTCATGCCACAAAAACCAGGAGAAAAGAAAAGGGGACTTCCTCCTTCTGAAAGTTTAAGAAACAGTTCCTTCATAACTTATTGGCCTTTATTGGGTCCCAGCCTGAGCCAACCACAGGTCAAGGCTGATGTGTTGAGTGGCTTAGATCTAGTCCAGGATTACACTATGATGGTTTAGCAATGGAAAGTACAGCTTCTTTAGAACCTTTTGAATGAATAAGGAGGTAAGGCCAGCCAGGCATGGTTATCAAAGAGAGCTATGAAAAGAACGGCTCTATTATGTCATAGATGGCATCCTCTCTTAAGAGGCAGCATATCACAGTAGCTGAAAGTGTGGGCTATAGAGACACAACAGCTGGTTCTGATATTGGCTTTACCATTTAAGAATGTGTGACCTACAAATATCTGGAGAGAATCATCACAGTTTTCAGATAAAGATCTACACATTCTCCTTTTAGGAGGGGTTATTAGCAAACACTTTATATGACCTATGGCATCTAATCCTTGATATCCATAGGGTAGTGCTGCACAGGTTTCATTATTGCAAAAGAAAATCCATCCTATAGACAATTGCTTCCCTTGTTTTAAGGCACAATTAGAAGTGATATTGCAATGTGAGGGAATAAACTTACAAGTAAAACATTAAAAAAAAAGTGTGACCTAGCAGGGCATGGTGGTGCAAGCCTTTAATTCCAACACTCAGGAGGCAGGGGTAGGCAGATCTCTGAGTTCAAGGACAGCCTAGTCAACATAGTGAGTTTCAGGCCTGCTGGGGCTACAAGGGAGACCTTGTCTCAAAAAGACCCAAAAAGAAAAAAAAAAAGAATGTATGATCTTGGTAAATTATCAAACCTCCCTATGTAAAATGGGAGCTATCAGCCTTCCTCCTCTTAAGAGTGCTATGACACAAAATTGGTTTAATGTACTTAAAACATTGACTGGTAGGCTGGAGAGATGGTTCAGCCTTGTGGAGGACCTGGGTTTGGTTTCCAGCACCCACATGGTGGCTAAGACCATCCTTAACTCACTCTAGTTCCAGGGGATCTGA